TTGTGGGCATGGAGGTAGGATGCTGAGCCCACAAACTGGCTCCCTATCACATAGAGGGTTAGACAGACCCCCAGGAATCACCCCCACAGCTTCCTCCTCCCAGCTGTGGAATGTGCTGCTCAGCAGGGGGTGGACCTCGCCCATGGGTCTGCACCAGGGGACTTGGTGTGTTAGAGGGCGGCCTGGAGGAGGAAGGGGGGTGGGGGGGGGCTGTGTCTTTACGATGAGGTGTAGAAAGGAGCAAGCCTGGAGGTGTCTTTCTCCTCTTTCCTGGGTGAGGTCTCTGGTACCTGGAGGTCCTGATCCTGCCCGGAGGGTTGGTGCAAGAGGGGAGAGGAGTTGGGGTGGGGCCTTGGCCCCCAGTCCCCGGAGGCAGCTGCGGGGAAGTACCCTATTCCCCTATCTCTGCACCCCTCCCCCTGGCCCTCGGCCCAGCCCCGCCTCTTCCAGGGTCCTGGGGCCGCGGGCTGGCGGGAGGGGGGCCGTGCGGTGTGGTCTGGCGTCCCGGCCCCGCCCCGGCAGCCTGAGTGGCTGCGCCGGGCCCCGCCCACCCCCCTAACTTCCGCGGCGGGGCCTCCCCGGAGTCGCGGCTGCTGGCCGGAAGCAGCGGGCCTGGACCACCTGCCGGTGAGTGCGGCCCTCCGCGCTGGAGCCCCCGGCCTGAAGTGCTGCCTCCGGGGCTCGTGGGGAGGGGCCCTCAGCGCCTGGGGTGGGGGTCAGCGCTTACGCTTAGAGCCGGGAGGGCCCGGGATCGAGGCGCCCACCCCGCCCCACCTTGGGGATCGGCTGCCGGCTTCTGAGCGCGAGGGTCACGGGCCAGGCGGCGTGAGCTCACTTCCTCCACATCCTGTGGCATCTCCTCGCCCTTCGCGCTGGAGGGAAGGGAAATCCTGGCGTCCTGGGCTCCGGGCCCCCTCCTGCCTTGTGAGCTCGGGGCTGATTTTCTCGGGGCTGCCGAAAGGGCTGAGGTAGGAGCACCCCAGGGGGAGGGGAAGCGGCACTGTTGCCCAGTGGGACCCAGGATTGTCAGAATTTGTCACCGTCTTGCCACCCAAGGGCTGGCAAGGCCCTAGCTGCTGCCCTGTGCAAGGCCCTGGCCCCTGCTGGTGCCTGCGGCTGCCTGGATAAGGGGCTTTGGTTGAGAGGCTTGAGGAAGAACCGATGCCCAGTCCATCCCCTGCAGGCCCTCCTTTGAGAAGAAGCGCCTCAGGGCTTTCCCTTTGCTTCCTCTTCTCTTGCCCAAGGCTTCCCCAATGCCACTCTCCCTTTTTTTTTTTTTTTTTTTAAAGATTTATTTATTTATTTATTTATTTATTTATTTAGTTAGTTAGTTAGTTATTTATACCAGCACTGGGTACAGTCAGAAGTGCGGGAGGGTGAGAGAATTCACCAGAGCCAGAGCGGGGAGCAGAGCAGGCAGAAGGACCGAAGGACACTGCTGAGGGGAGCGTGGGCCCCGCCTCCGGTGGCTGGGGATCGAACCGGGGCTGCAGAGGCTGCGGCAACTCTCCCATTTTGTCCTCTGAGAATCCATTTTCTCCTTCCCTACTTTGGAAGTCTGTCTGCTGCCTGCCTTGGAAGGGGGGGGGGAGGCTGGTAGTCCCACCTGGACACCGCTGCCCCTCCCCTGGCGCTGTCGGTAGACCGGGAGGAAGTATGCCCTGCACCCTCCAAGGTGTGAACGTTTGGGGTGGTGGAAGGTTTGGGGGGCTTACTGCTAAGGTTTCCGGTGGGTGACTGGCACTCGGTGCCGCTTCCTCTCAGCAGGAGCAAATTCTCTGGTTGTCTTGGACTGTTCAAGGCTCCCAGGCCCGACTTCCTCACTCCCTTCCCGGCCTAGCAGAGACCCACCTCTTAATCCAAGGTCCAAGGAACCTGGCAGGAGCACCCCCTCCTCCGCCCTCCCCACACACACCTGTGGCAACAAGTAACTCATCTGGGCTCGCCATCTGGGCTCGCCACCCGACCTGCTGAAAAACAAAATTCAATCAAGTAAATTTAAAGATCTAATTGGTTTTATTAAATGATGCATGAATAGGACAGTATCCCGTCTAGAAAGCTGCGGGGGAGGGCTATGCAAAACGACAGGTTTTTTATGGTCGGAAATAAGGTGGCGTGAGATTTATTTTTTAGCAAAAATAAGAAGTTTCAGGTGAGACTATTTTCCTTTAGGAGAAGGCGTCTGCCTCAGATACCTGCGCTCCCGGTGCTGGCAGGACTAAGTGGGGAGGGTAGAAACGACAGTTCAGTGAGATTCTAAATCTTCGTTTGGAGGCGTGTTCTGGGCTTGGCCCAAGTGACTCCATTTTGGGCCTGCTGTTTCTTTTTTTAAGACTTCCACTGGAATGTTCCATCCCACGGAGGGGATGCTGTTGCCTCCTGGGTGGCGAGGGGTGGATCGGGATTCTGCAGCACTGCACCGCATCAACTCGCAGAACAGCGTGTTCTGGAAAGGTGGCATCCCTCCCCCGTGCCCCACGGCCAGGCCTTGGCCTTCTAGTCGCAGTGCCCGCCGCCACCGTCCTCATTGCTTAGGCGCCGCTTTCAGAACCGCAGCCTCCGCCTGCTCCGCCATCTTCCCGGTGGCAGCGCCCCTCTTCCCCCAGACTGTGGGTGTGTAAAGGTGTTGGCAGTCAGGCCTGGGGGGTGATGCTGCGCCAAGTGGAAGTGAGGTACCGGGCTCCTGAGCGGTTGTTCTAGGGCACAGCTGTGACCTGCACAGTGGGCAGGTGAGCTGGAGGAATGCCCTTGCCTGATTTCCAGGGGAGTCAGCGAGACCCGGAGAACGCGGGTGCCTTGCAAAGCCCTTCCTTGCTCTCGGGAGGGTGGTCAGGGCTGCAGTGTCAGATTGTTCCCAGCCGTCCAAAGCCACCTCAGTCCTCTTGTTCTGGGTGGCTGACCCGTAAGCCACATAATGACTGTACAGCCCTCCTGGCCACAGCCCAGAACTCACCTCCGCAGTGGCCTTGACTCAGGAGAGAGGGAAGGTGTCTACATGTCCCTGCTTCAGGGTTCCCTCCTTGCAGGTTCCTCCTCAGGCTCCCCCTCACTCCCCAGGCCACCTGGAGCCAGGGAGAGTAGAAGCTCTGACTTATGTCCAGGGCCACCAACAGTGCGGGAGGCGCGCGCCCCTAGCGGGGAGGGGATGTGGGCACTGCTGGCCACGGCCGTGCCTCTGCTCTTCGGACATGGCATGACATCTAGGAACCCCCTTCCCTCCACTCTGAAGCTCCAAGCTGGACAATAGGTGCTAGGCCTGACCCCTGGGGGTCAGCTAAAGTCATGTCTGCTGCCTGGGGGCCTTTTGGGACCCAGCTGTGGTGATTGGGAAGAGCGCTGAGCCCCTGGTCTCAGCGTCCTGTTGCAGGTGAGGGGGCGGAGTGACAGAGGTGGAAGTACCTTGTGCCCGAGTTTCCAGAGTTCCTCCAGGACAGCAGCTCCTTTCACTGGCCCCCCTGGAGTTCCCCACTTTGGGAGGAGGGTCGAGGGTCTGTTCATACCCCCGGCCCGGAGCCCATGGGGGAGCATGAAATGCAGAGGCCAGCTGGGGACCTACTTTGAGGACTGGAGGCTTTTGGACCCAGCTGGTCTGGGGGCGCCTCACCACGCCTGTCTGGCTGCAGTGGGCACAGCCCACGTGGCAGGGCAGGAGATGGGCAGGAGACTGGCACTCTCCCGCCCTGCAGGTGCCCTCCACCAGGAATCCCAGGCTGTGCAAGAGATTCCCCTCCTCCGGAGAGCCAAGTGCCAGGTTCAACCCTGACTGCCCGCCGCTCTTCTGGGCCAGTTCCCGGGGAGCTGGCAGGAGGCCACCGTGGAGCCCCAGGGCCTGAAGAGCGGGAAGGGATGGGGTGTGTGCTCAGTGCTGGGGCAGAGTGGTTGGTGGCCTGATGGGTGGGAGAGCCAGTGGGAGTCTCAGCACAGACCTGGGGCAAAAACGGGTGACCACGGGGCTCTGGGGGGGGAGGCCCGTGTCTGCTCTGATGCTTGGCGAGGGGGCTTGCTGCTGGGTGAGCCCTGGTGGGTGCGCACCTTCCACGCTTACATCTGGTCATTAGTCGTCCTGCCTCGGCACCCGGAGCCCGTTGTACACTTGGGGCGTCAGCGACTTGCCTGGCAGGGCCGGCATTTTCACGTCCGAGGTCGCAGTGGTTTTGCCGGAGTGTCAGCTTCTTCTTGTGTGGGTAGAGCCACTTTTGAGTTGGGGTCTCGTGCTCTGTCATCGTGTGTTGGCCCGGGGCAGAGTCCTCGACTGGGTCGGTTCTCTGCTCCGGCAGTAGATCTTTGTGCCCAGGTTTCTTCTTGTAAAGATGGCAGCAGGTGCTTGTCTCCTTCCAGAGCTGAGGTGAGGGTTGGCAGCAGGCGGGCGGGGCCGGCTCCCTGTCAGCGCGCATCCTCTGGGGTCTGGACTGCTGTCCTTGGGCTGAAATGGCAACAACGTGGAATGTTTGCTCTCCTCCTCCCTGTTATCTGTGAGGCTGGACTGAAGGGCTGTGGAGTCCAGGCCTGTCTTCCCAGAGAGCAGGCGGGGCGCCCTGGAACCCCCAGAGTGCTGTTCCCGGCCAGGCTGGGAAGGGTAGGTGGGGCCTGTTTGGGCTTCAGTCCTGGCAGGTTCCCAGCCCCACCTTAGTTTCCCTGAGGTCACTCGGGTGCGTGTCTTCCAAGGGGGTCTGGGGGGCCAGTGCAAGGTTGTGGGGGCTCTAAGGATCTGTGCGTCAGATGCCCAGGGTCTCCCCCATGTCCTGCTCCCTCATTCCTCAGATGCTCCTCAGTTGAAAGGAAATGGGTCAGGTCCCGGGAGGGAGGGGCTGCCCTGGCTGCAGACAGGCTGACGACGCCAGCTGGAGCCCCGGGCTCAGATTCCCGCCTGTGCGCCTTGCGCCCGGCACTGCCAGGTCCCTCCCTGGCATCCGCTCCCTGGAGCAGGCAGGTGGCCCAGCCCGGGGGCTGTGGGCGGCGGGCCAGGGCAGGTGCGTGACCAGTGCCTGTCTTTGCCGTAGCCGGACCTCCAACCCGCGCCGCGGAGCCGAGAGGCGGAGCAGCCCATCAGCCCCCAGGGGTCTGGCGGAGCCCCAGCCCTGGCGGAGGAGCCGCCGCGCAGTAGCAGGAGAGCCGCCCGCGGACTGGGGGGAAGGGAGGAAGGAGGAGAAACAAAGGCGAGCGCGCCTCGCGCCGCCCACCATGTGTCAGTCAGAAGCGCGGCGAGGACCGGAGCTCCGTGCAGCGAAATGGTGAGATGCTGCCCGCCTCGTCCTAACCCCGCGGTGCCCCGCCACGACCTCCGGAAGGTCAGAGTTCACGTCCAGCGGCCCCGAGGTGGAGGTGGCGGCAGGGGGCCTGGGCATCAGCCCCCTCGACTGGAGGGGCCCGGTCCTGGGGGCCTAAGTCGGAGAGCCCGCTTCAGGTACCTGTGGTTCCAGGAGGCTGGTGGCCCATTGTCTGCGGCACCCTAACTGCCGCTTCCCACCCCCCGGGCGCCCCCCCACCCGCTGGGGGAGGGCGCAGCTCTTCCGGGATTGGTCCCCGTGCTGCTGCAGTGAGCCGGCGGCTGGGTGGTGGAGTGGGGGCGCAGTGATTTGTCAGCTTTGCTTGGCCCTTCCTACCTTCCCTGGTCCTTGAAAACATAGCAGGGTGGGTGGGAGGCAGGGCGGCGCGGCCACCTTCCGCTCCCATCAGTGGACTGCAGGGTCTGGCCGGTGCCTTAGTTCTCCATTTTTTCTGCTTTTAGTGTCAGCAGAGATGCCTCTTTGTTCCTGTTTTTTCAGCAACCGGGGGCAGAGGACACAGCCCTCTGAGAACCCAGTTCTCACAGTCCTCTGGGAACACAGGCGCAGATGGGAGCCTCGCACTGTCCGGTTGAGTGCAGTCCTTTTGCGGATGACAAAACCGAGGCCTAGGGGCTCCCTCAGTGGGGGGCAGTGTGGTCGCCTGATGGCCGTACTGGGGCCTCCACTATTTTCTAGGCCGTGGTGCGTGACAGGGGAGCCCGGGTGTCGCTGCTGTGCCTCGGGAGGCCAGGGTTCCGGGGGAGAGACCTGTCCCAGCCTCTGCAGTTAGCGCAAGGCCGAGCCTGTGCCAAATGCACTGGATCTGGGGGGTGGGTCTCGGGAGAGGCTCACCTCCCGCGGCTGAAAGGAGGGGTCTGGGTCAGGCGCGTGGCCCCAGAGTCGGGACACAGCCTTTAGGGGTGAGAGGAGGGCCCTTCCCAGCCTCCGATGGGTTTAGGATCCTGTTGCGGAAGAGCCCCCAGGCGCTGCGCTGGGGCTGCGAGGAGGCTGTGCGCGTCTGTGTGTGTCCCTTGCCAGCTCCTCCGGCTCGGCGCTGGTCTGTCAGGTGGGGGATCCCAGCCCCTGCAGCAGCGTGGTGGCAATAGCTTCCCCTCTGCTGGGCGCTGCTTGGGGCTCCAGGGGAGCACGCCCAGGCTCCCCAGTTCCTGTGCGGCCGGGCCTCACCCCCAGTGTCCTAGCGCCCGGGTTCCCTGTCCTCAGCCGCGGGCAGGTGGAGAGTTGGGGAGTGGGGCTGCCGGGCAGGAGCAGCCAAATCCCCGACCGGGAATGGGCTGGAGACGTGGGGCCCTGGCCAGAGCAGCTGGGGAGGGCGGGAGGACAGGCAGGGGCTACCCTGCTGGGGTGGGCGGGGCCCCTCAGCCCCTGGTCGCTGACCCTGGTTGTGCCTGGACATCTGCCCTGCAGGTTGCACTTCCCCCAGCTGGCCCTGAGGCGGAGGCTGGGCCAGTGGAGCTGCATGTCCAGACCCGCCCTGAAACTTCGCTCTTGGCCCCTGACTGTCCTCTACTATCTCCTGCCCTTGGGGGCCCTCAGACCACTCAGCCGGGTGGGATGGAGGCCCGTGAGCAGGGTAAGTTTGCAGGCTGCCACCTCACCCTCCCCGGGGCAGGCCTGAGGCTGGGGTGGAGGCAGTTGTCACGGTAGAGGTGATGGCTGTGGGGGCTGTGCCCTCCCTCTGGACGGTGTGACGTGAGCCGGCCGAGAGGTCAGGCTGGTCTGGGCTGCGGACGGGTGGCAGCAGGTCAGGCTTGTCTGGGCTGCGGACGGGTGGTCCTTTGCCTGCACCCGTGCCATTTGGGGGCCTCTGCTTCTAGAAGGAACCCACACGGGGTGCTCATAACATGGTGTCAGAGGCGATTTTGAGAATTCAAATTCCGGGACCTCAGAGAGGTGTTCAGGAAGGCAGGAGCCTATCTGGGCCCCATAGGGTGGGGACCCCTGGGCAGGGCTGGATGGGTGAGTGGCCTGGCCAGGCTCACTCTGAGAAGGAGACCCTGCTCCTGGGCCTTGGAGGACTGGGTGGCTCAGAGGCAACCTACGGGCGTTGGACTGTACACGGGACCGCCCAGCACCCTGGGCTGCTCCAGTGCCCCGTGTCAGCTGGGAGTCCATAGCCGTCGTGGAGGTGTTCAACACTGGAGTGAAGTGATTCTCAGCACCTCGGGGACTTGGTGTGTCAGGTACGGGCAGACAAGCAGCAGCCACTGCGCAGCCGCGCCTCCCACTGAGGCAGAGGCACTGAGCCTTATTAAGAGGCCGCCCCGCACAGGGCGCGTGGCCCGGCATCAGGTGTCGCGTCCACCACAAGCCATGGCCTGTCCTCAAGTGTGCTCGGCTCCTGGCCCTGAAAGTTGGGCTGAAGGGGCCCCGGGGAACCCGATTGCCGCCCGCCCCCCCCTCCCCCCCGGTCTCCTGGGAGGAGCTCCAGGTGCAGACCTCCTTGTGGACAGGCTCCTGCCTCTGAGCGCCAGGCTGGCCTGGTGGGGGTTTGTCTGCTTCTGTCAGGACTAGGACATGTGCCTGAGCATCCTGCGCCTTCCCGGTGGTTCCTCCTCCAGCCTCTGTGACGGTGTCAGATCCACTTAGGCCCCCGCCTTTTCTTTTAAGAAGTAGGGCTGCACCTGCCAGTCTCCTCAGGACTGGGGGGGGGGGGTCCTGTTTGACCTCTGCACAAAGTGACAAACACCTGAGCTGTAAGTCGCTGTCCTGGTCTCAGCCAACACTGTCGGGTGAGCTCAGTCTGGTTTCTAGTGAGAAATGGTCTCAACACAAAGCCATGGGGGAGTGGGGGTGCCCAGGCCTCCAAAAATGGCCGGGAGGCGAGGGTAGGCTGACGGGCAGGAGGGCCTCCATGTAACAGTCTCGTCCATCTGCCTGTGACCTGCAGGTGGCCTTGTACAAGTCGGTGCCGACACGCCTGCTGTCGCGGGCCTGGGGTCGCCTCAACCAGGTGGAGCTGCCACATTGGTTGCGCAGGCCCGTCTACAGTCTGTACATCTGGACCTTCGGGGTGAACATGAAGGAGGCCGCGGTGGAGGACCTGCACCACTACCGCAACCTCAGCGAGTTCTTCCGGCGCAAGCTGAAGCCGCAGGCCCGGCCCGTCAATGGCCTGCACAGCGTGGTGAGGCCCCACACTGCCTTCCGTTCCTCCCTCCAGAAGCGGGGTGCTCGCCTCTGCCTGTGGGCACCGGCCCCAGCAGCCCACACTGTGGTGGGTGGGTCCCCCAAGGCCGGGTCTGCAGGTAGGTCCTGCTGTGTCCAGCCTCTCCTGGCCCTTCCAGATCAGCCCGTCAGATGGGAAGATCCTCAACTTTGGGCAGGTGAAGAACTCTGAGGTGGAGCAGGTCAAGGGGGTCACCTACTCTCTCGAGTCATTCCTGGGCCCACGTACCTCTTCAGAGGACCTGCCCTTTCCACCAGGTAGGTCCCTGCGGCTAGCGGCCGTGCTGCAGCGTGGTGGGCTGGGGTTGGAGAGGGACTCCGGGCAGGTGTAGGGACGGGAGGGCCTCGCTTGTGAGCTGGGGGCTCCCTGGAACCCGTGGCTGCACGCGGGGTGACGTCAGTGCTCGTCTGAGAGCCTGGCCCTGTGTGCACCCGCCGCAGCCACCTCCTTCAGGAACCAGCTGGTCACTCGAGAGGGGAACGAGCTCTACCACTGCGTCATCTACCTGGCCCCGGGGGACTACCACTGCTTCCACTCCCCCACGGACTGGACGGTTTCCCACAGGCGCCACTTTCCAGGTAGGCCCGGGCTGGCCCCTGGATGGGAGGGGGCTCCGGGCGTCAGAGTGCTCTGCTTCTCAGGGAGGGCAGTCTCGGGCTGCCCCAGGTAGACACACTGGGCCCCGGGGGGCCGGTGCTTCCTGCTGGGCAGCAGTGGCAGTGTCCCTGGCCCACAGGCTCCCTGATGTCCGTCAACCCTGGCATGGCCCGCTGGATCAAAGAGCTCTTCTGCCACAACGAGCGAGTGGTCCTGACCGGGGACTGGAAACACGGCTTCTTCTCGCTGACCGCTGTGGGGGCCACCAACGTGGGCTCCATCCGCATCTATTTTGACCGGGTAAGAGCTCAGGCCCTGCTGTAACCCAGGGGCCGGGCCAGCGGGGTCTCGCCTCTTCTGTCCCCTGTACAGCCTGGATCTGCCGGGACTGTAAGTTCTGGGAGGCTCTGGGGAGCAGCTGCTCCCCCACCTGCAGATCTGCCCCTCGCCCTGTCTGGAGGTGGCCGAGCGCGCAGGAAGTAGCCTCCCCACCTAGCACCTGGCTTCTGCTGGGAACGGGGGGACGTACTGGGGCGGCGTCCGCAGACGGGAGGCAGACAGTGCCCTTCCTGCCTGAGGGGCTGCTGCTCTCAATGATGGGTGGTGACCCGGCCCTCACGCCCCCCTGGAGGAATGAGCCCCAGCACACATCCCTCTAGGGCCCGGTTCATGGCCAGTGTTGGGGGCCGTCCGGTTAGACCCAGTCCTCAGGCGAGACGCCGTCCCCACCACCCTTTCCGAGCTGCTGGGGCCGGCGGCAGCCCCCCCATGCGCTGTCCCTCGCTCCCCAGGACCTGCACACGAACAGCCCGCGCTACAGCAAGGGCAGCTACAACGACTTCAGCTTCGTGAGCCGCGCCAACAAGGAGGGCATCCCCATGCGCAAGGGCGAGCACCTGGGCGAGTTCAACCTGGGCTCCACCATCGTGCTCATCTTCGAGGCCCCCAAGGACTTCAACTTCCGTCTGAAAGCAGGACAGAAAATCCACTTCGGGGAGGCTCTGGGCTCCCTCTAGAGTCTCCCCGGCTTCTGCTGCCAGGGCGCTTTTCCAAGCAGAAAAACACCCCGGTCTTCTCCAGGGGACCCCCCGCGGCTCTCCAGGGCTGGGGCGACTGTCGGCCGCAGGGTCTGCCTGGGCAGGACCTGGGCCACACCCGTTCCTGCCGAGTCCGTGAGGGGCGGACAAGAGGCTCCTGATCCCTTTGAAAAGGAGGTGGGCACCCGTCGGCCCCTTCCACCCTGAAGAAGGGGCAGGCAGGGAGGATCCTCAAAATCCCTGTTGGGGATTTTTTTTTTTTAACACGTTGTATAAAATGGAGCCCTTGCGTCTCCGGCTGATGTCACTGCTCCTCCCGTCCCTGCTCCTGGCCTTGCCCCTCTGCCGCCTCTGCCTGGGGTGAGGTGCCTGCTGGCGCTGACTGTGACCCCCGCGGCCCCCCCCCCTCCCCGAGCAGGGCCCCACAGCCTTTAATGCAACTGCTTTGCTCCCAACTTGCCATACCCTGCTCGTGGGGAAAAGCTCGGTGTTTCCTCCTGTGGCTGAGCACGGTGCCCTGGACCCTGCCAGTGTCGTCCCGGGACGGGACGCGGGTCCTGGAAGTGACTTTGGAGCTGGTGAGTCCCCCTACCAGTTTGTCCAGCCGGGGGATGGGGAGAGCACGCCCCTCCCTAAAGCCAGCGCCACGCCAGGGTAGGGAGCGCGGCCGCTGTCAGCTCAGGGCTTTGGTGTTTGGGGGGTGTCAGTGCCTAGAAAACCTGTCCCCAGGTATGCAGTCCTGGGGGTGCCACTGATGGGGGCAGGACCAGGTTTCATGTTTCCTGGGGACGCTGTGAATTTCTCCTGCAGGAGAAGCCATTTGAACTTTTTCAACTGTATCAGTAGCACAGTATTTTTGTATGAAAAGCAGGAGACTTCTGAACAGTGATTCATTTAATTGCAACATTTTGAAATAAAAAAACCTCACTGCAGCTCTGTGTCCTATTCCTGGTGGTGGGCTGTGGCCTCCCTGAGCCGGGGCGCTAGCCCAGAGCTTGCCGCAGGGCCTGGACTCGGGCGATGCAGGCCCCGATGGGCTGGCGCTGGGCCTGGAGCTCGGCGGCCAGCTGCTGGATCTGCAGTTCCACCTGAGGGCAGGGGCGGGGCGGTCCAACTTAGGAGGCGGCCCGACCTGGAAGGCCAGCCGGGGGGCCCTGAGGCCTTACCTCCCGTAGCTCTTTCTCTACTAGCCGCTCTGCTTCCTGGTCCTCAGGCCTGGGTTCCTCCCGGCTCAGCTCCAGCCACCTGCGCAGGCTGCGTGCTTGACGCTGGCAGGACCTGAGGGGTCAGGGGGCAGCACATCAGCTACCTCTGACGGCGACAGAGGGGCAGGGCTGTTCTGCGCCCACTGGCACCCCTTGAATCTGAGGCTGCTGCTCACACCAAGGGGGGTCCGTGCCCTGGGTGTGCGGGTGTGGGCGCTGGCGTGAGAGGATGGCCTGATGTGTGTGGCTGCAGCCTGGGCCTGTCTTCCCCGCACCTTTGTCAGCCCGCGCCCCAGTCGTTGCTGGGCAGCCGCTGGCCTGGCTTTCACGTGCTTAATGTTTTGCTCAGCATTGTCCTCCCTCCCCAGAGGTAAGAATGACTTGGGCCTTCCTGAGCAGGCCTGGGGGGTAAAGTGCCACCCGTGAGTGGGGAGCTGGCATTGCAGTGCAGACGAAGCACCCTGGCAGCCAGCTCTGGAGGCGGCGCTCCCTGCTTTCCCTGTGCACAGGTGGCAGAGGGGTTTGGGGTCTTACCAGAGGTTCTGCTTCGTGGTCTGGCAGTGCTGCAACTGCTGCTGGATTCCCTCAAGCTCAGCCTCCAGGTCCGTGTGGCTAGTGGCAACGGGAGAATGAACTCGATCTGGATCTTTCCCACCAGGCCCAGGCTGAATGGAGGGATCCCGGGTGCTGAGAGCAGCCCGCGTGCTTGCTGTGCTGACGGGTCTCAGAAACACCCCTGCAGCTGCAGAGCCAGGCCTGGTGCCTATGAAGTCTCCAGGGAGGAGCAGATGGGGGTTGCGGGCACTGGCCAGAGAAGGGGGGGCCTGAGGCACAAGCCCAGGGGTGGCTGGCCGTGCTGAAACCTGTGACAGAAGGGTGGATGCTGAGCAGGGAAACTGCAAGTCCGAGAAGGGCACGTGAGGCCCAAACCAGCAGCTGCTTTCCTCACACCTGCCACCGCCGACTCCCTCAGAGCCCGGCCCTGCCGCGGACCCAGTCATGGCTGGAGAAAGTCCATGACTAACCCGAGGGCCCCTTGTCTTAGAGGAGGAAGCTGTCTGGAACCTGACGGACCTTTCTCTGCACTGCCCCCGAGCTGTGACCTTGCTGAGCTGCCCGAGCTCGCACCTCCATGAGGACAATGTTCAGAGGCGAGTTCTTGTCCACTCCTTCCCTCCTGGGCACAGTGTGCTCAGGACTATCGCCCCACGCCCCCTCCATCCGCTGTGCAGAGAACCAAACCCCTCCCCTCTACACTCAGGCCAAATTTGCAGGCCCGCCCGCCTCCATGGCCACTGTCTCCAGGGACCGGTTCTGAAGAGCCGGGGTTAGGGTGGCCCAGCCCCCCGGCTGTTAGTGTCACTGAGCGCTCTGCCTGCCCGCTCCGCTACGGGTGTCAGCTGGCAGGGAGGGGCAGCCCCTCTCCCAGCTTCCCCAGCTGCAGCGTCTCAGCGCTGACTTCCGGCCTGACTTTCCTGAAGGCCAGGCTGAATCCTGTTGCTTGATCTCGAAGTCAACAGGTTCAAGGGGGACACACTTCACCAACTGGTCCCCACCCCCAGTTTTCCCTGTGTTGGTAAAGAGTTCATTATTCCCAGTTTCTCAAGCCAGAAACCTAGCCTGCCCCCACGATTGCTTCCCTCCTATCAAACCCACCCATGGGCCCAGCCCCCCACTCTGCTGCCAGCACCTCCCGCTGGGCTGTCGGTCCACAGCACCCAACCAGCTCCACAAACTCCTCCTCTTGGAACCCAGCGCTGCACTACCTGACCTCAGTCTCCTCCCCTGTGCACGTGGAAGTCTCCGGTCTCTACCGCTAGGATGTAAGCTGCATCACAGGGGCCTCAGCAGGTGACCGGCTTCCCATCATCTCCCTGAAGCCATGATTTTAGTGCAGCTGGCCACAGTACGCGTAAAGAGCACCGAAGCCCAGACCGCAGAGCTGGACCCCCAGTGACCAGAGAGGACTTACCCTGGCAGGTGTGTCCTTCCCATAAGGCACGAAGCAGGAAGGGGGCAGCAGCTCGGGGCCTGCGTTGGCAGTGGGGTACACCTTCAGGTCAGGGAGACTTGGCAGGACCCCAGACTGGGGCAGGGGGCTGCTTGGGATCGGTGCCACCTGGGCCTTTGCCAGGAAGGGCCCTGACAGGGAAGGGCCTAGGCCTTGGTCCTGATGCTTCTCAGGCCTGAGCAGAAAGAGGCAGGCCTTGGAGCCTTCCCCTGGGAGGCAGGAAGGAAAGGGGGTTTCCCACCCTAGGGCTCCACACCCTACCTCTGTCCCCCAAGCATTCCACACTCCAGGGGCCTCTGACTCTGCATGGGCTCCAGCAGGAAGTGCGGGCGTCGAGGCTGCCTCCTTAATGAGCGGGGAGCACTGCTGGGAAGATACATGAGCCCATTCGCCCAGCGTGTCTGGGGACTGCTGAGGGCCTGAGACCTTGTAGCTGGCGGCTGGGGAGATGATCCAGTCCAGCTCTTCCCAGCTCACAGGGAGACTGAAGGAAAGGCTCTTGGCCAAGGTCAGCAGGTGGGCTGGGCTGGGCCTGGGCTGCACAGAACTTCTGGTAACTCCAGTGAAGCCAGCCTGGCGCCTGGGGATGCCCTACCCACGTGGTCTCCTCGGGGCCAGGCTCTTGTCAGAGGAGGGCAGTGTGGGAGGCAGAGCAGGACCAAGGTCCAGACTAGTGCCCCTCCCTGCCAGCACTCACGCTGGCTGCTCTGGGGGCTGACGGCCCAGTGAGCACAGCGTACAGGGAAGGGGCAGGATTTGAGGGGACTATCCCGGGAGAAGTAGAGAGGCAGGGCCAGGTCACAGAAAGGGGGGTTTCCCAGAGGAAGCCCATGTGTCCACTGTACGGGAAGCGGGAGGGCGGCAGGCCCGGAGGCGGGAGGGCAGGGCTGCCTTTGCCAACTACACGTTCCTCCCCCTTGCCCCTGGGAAGACCGGCTGGCGTCCCTGCCATGTGGGGGACAAGATCCTGCTAGAGAGGCCTGGGCGGGGGTTGGCCATGACCCTCAGGGTCCAGCATCCTCCCTCCTATGCAGGCCAAGGTGAGAGTGAGGAGGAAGGAGAAAGGGGTGGGTTACTCACAGCTCCAGAAGCTGCGGGTTCCCAGCTGCCAGGGTCAGGCTGCCCGGGGCTCCCCAAGGCCCATGAGCAGCTTTCGACCTCTTGGTCTCCAGGGTGGCATCCCCAGCTGCAGCAGCGTCACTGAGCAGGGCACCCTGGAAGGTTACTCTCCTGCTGGGGATGGTGGAGGCGGAAGGTTGAGGCTTCTGGCCTGGGCCTAGCGCCTTCTGTTTCCAGAGCGTGGCGCAGCGATGGACCGCCCGGTGCAGACTGTGGGCTGCCTGCAATTGGCCCCTGGTCAGGTCAGGCTGTCCACAGGCAAAGGTCATGGTGTGACCGCCAAGGGGGTGACCGCTGGCCCACCTGGACCTGCTGCTGGGCGTGCAGCCGCTGCCGGAAAGCCTTCATGTCGGCTGTGAAGTGCAGCAGGCGCGTGACGCCCTCCCGGAGCAGCTGCTCATGGTAGGCCTGCGCCGCCTGCTCCAGCCGCACCTTCTTTCTCCTCCTCTCTAACACGAAGTCCAGCCACGCAGCCCACACCTCCAGGAGAACAGGGGATGAGGCCCAGCTCTCCCTGCAGACTCCCCAGGGCTTGGCCCACAACCCACCCAGGGCTCCGCCGAGGCGCTGTCCCCTCCTGGGGGAGGCAGGAGCACGGTGGAGACGCCCGTTACCTTCGCCTGTAGACAGAAGGACCAGAACCACAAGGCCCGCGCTGTGCCCTGCTGTTCCCGCCTCCTACTCAGCAGCTGTGGGCCAGAAAAGCAAGATGGCCCTAACAGCCCCTCCCCGAGGGCTGCGACTCTGGGGCCCGTCCGCTCGGAGATCCCTTCCTAGTTGGAGCTTCCCTCCCTCCGGCAGGAAAGGCCCGGCCCTGCCTGGCACCGAGGTGGTGGAGTAAGGAATGACCCCTGGCGAGAACAAGGCCAAGAGCAGGGCAGCGGGCTGCTCCGGGAGGGAGCGGGGGCTGCTCTGCATTAGCCTGGACAGGAGGACGGTCTGCACGCGTGTGCTGAGCACCACGCAGGGCAGGAGGACAGGTGTGCTGAGCACCACGCAGTCTCACTGGAGCTGTATCCGGGCCTCAGCAAGGACTTAAAATACATTTCATGTTCATCCGGGGGAGTTACTCCGATGGTTTATGACCATGCCGTGCGGAGACACGCTCAGATGGCAGTGGGAGAAAACAGGAAATGACTTGGGAAGGGGCCTAAGGGATGGAAGCCCCGGTCTTGGGTGATAGGACAAATACTGAACTGAAGGTTGGGGCTCAAGAGGCAAGGGGAGTAGGGGGAAGGGACAGAGGGGTGTTCGGAGGCTCCCACCTGTTGCTTCCACTGACAGAAGCAGGACCGGCTGAGTGTCTGGGCCCGGAGCTGGGTGCCCAGCCTCTGCAGGAGCTGGGGAAGAGAAACACACAGGGAGCCGACAATGCAATCAGGTGCCCCTGCCCAGACCACCTGGGGCAGCCTCAGTGGAAGAGGCCAAGGGCCTCTGCACCGGGTAGGGGGTCCAGAGGACTGCACAGGCTCCCCAGCTCTGATAAGCCATGATTCAGTGACCAGGGGTCCCTGCTGAGCCACCTCTACCTGAGGTAGACTCCATCCTGAGGTTAGCTTGCTTCCCCCCACCCTGGTGCCTGCAGAAAACACCCAGAAAGGATCCTGCGGCCTTGTGTCCACAGGACCCCAAACCACCCAGCATCCATCCTGGCTCCCGGGAGGTAGTCTTGCGACCTGGACAGCCAGTCCTGCCACACAGAGCAACTTGGGGAGTTGCCACCTGCCTCACCTTCTTCCTGACGCAGCCCAGGCGGTAGGCCTTCCACCTGGCCATGGCCACCAGCAGCAGTGTCCGGCGGTGATGCTGCGATGCCCTCTCCAGCTGCTCCCGCTGCTGGGCTGCCCTCTGGCTCTGGGCCTGCCAGCGCTGAAAACAGGTCCTGAGACAGCCTGTGGCCGATCAGAGTCTGTTTTGTAGGATCAATATGAATGACTATGCACTGGGGAAGGAAGTTTAGAGCGTCGAGAAGGTGGTAAGGGAATACCCTTGGGGTGTCAGCCCATACTCTTGGGGAACACCACTTGTGGATGGGTGCACACTGTGAGGACAGCCCCAGACGCCTGCAGCAACTGCGAGCACCTGGAACAGAACTGGGTCTGCCATCTACTGTGCCTCCAAAGGCCCACCGGAGCCACTGGCTGTGCAAGCCAGGAGTGCGAGGGCCCGCGGAGCCGCCACAGGATGCACGGGGCAGACCCTCCGTCCGAAGTCCGTCCGAAGGAGTGAGCGGCGGCACCAGTTTATCAAGTAGGAAGCCAAGGCGCAGAGAGTTCCAGGGGGGAAGGCACAGTGGCTGCTGGGCCTCGTTCTCAGCCCGGCCCTGCAGCAGGGGCCATATTGTGCATTCTGTCTGCCGCCAGACCCTCTCCAGGGAGCAAGGACTTTCTTCTGCTGATTTTTAAACTTTTAGCATTTTCCTTAGGCCTTGTGGTAAATTTCTTTTAGAAAACAGAAAACTGTCGACGCCAGACCACTGATGCCAAGATGAGGCCCCTCCAGGGCCTCCAGGGTCAGGGTCTCGGCCTGGAGGCTGCCTGCCGGTGCCCACACTGCTTGGAAGTGGGCATATACTGGGTTGTCGGAAAGTCATGATGCGTTTTTGCTTGAAAAAAACAGAAAAACCCATCATGACTTTTCTGACAACCAAATATCAGCCTCACTGGGGATGACTCCAAGAGGCAGGTACTACTTGGCCTCTCGCGGATGAAGAACCTGAGGCAGAGAGGGGACTTGCCGAGGTCGTGAGCAGCGCATGGCCCCACGCTTCCTAAGCGCTCCGTCAGGTGCTGCCGTGCCCTGAGTTCTTCCCCTCGCCCCTTGCCGGAGTGTGCCTGAGACTCAGAGGCCTTCGTTAAGCCAAGCACTGGCTCCACGGGGATCCACTATGAGCTGAGGACATGGTACCTTGTCAATTGGTTTCCCACGTCATCTGTACCATCTGCTGTGAACATGGTGAACCTGGGCCTGCCACATGCCACAACCCCCTTCTCAGGAAACTGCCTGCCTCACAGTCCTTCAAAGGTAAGTAGCTTCAGGTTGCACCTAAACCTGTCACCTCCAACGTCCCACTGTGTTACCTGAGCCCGGGCTGGGCAGCTGACCTGAACAGGCAAGGCCTCTCACCACTGGGTGCCACGTCCCTGTCCAAACAGAGGCCGCAGGATGGGCTAAACCCCTTGGCTTCTGTCTTGGGAGTGAACTGGAAATCCAACATGGGTTTTTCGGGTGAGGGTGGCCAGAGGACACAGGCAAGCTGGTTAATGGTGGAGCAAACCCAGGGGTTCTATCAGAGGACAACAGGGATCTGCGCTCATCAACGTAAACACTATAGTCAGATCCAACCCAAAGGTGATTAGGTTTTGCTCTGGAGAAAACTGCTAAGTCAATTTATCAACTTGATCCACTTCCTCTAAGGCCCCATTCTAACAGTTTCCATTCCATTTGTATTTTCATTCACTCTGACCACAAGTTGTCCCCTCCAAGGGTCACACCCCCCACTGCAGGCCCCTGCCCTGTGTCTTGCACAGAGCAGAGGCTCCTGTCTGGGCCGTCGTCCGCAGCAGGTAGTGGGGCTGATGGAGCAAGTGTCTGGGCCCGAAACACAAAAAAGCCCAAGAAGGCAGGGAAGCAAGCCCCCGGCAACACGGGGCAGACTGACAAGGAACGGCCAGTGGAAGGGCTTTCCCATCGTAACCACCAACCACCTCAAACTCCCCAGGTCCAGCTTCATTTCTTTACATTTCTGTAGATCTCAAGCCGTGACCTTTCTTTTTAACAAACTATTTGGCGATCATTTCGGAACAGAATGCTATGAGGTACTGGCTTGACTAGTTACCCGCCCCAAATTCATGACTGTCCTGGAAACTCAGAATTGAGTTTCCTGAAGACACTGGCCTTCAGGACTATAAGAGAATAATTTTCTGTTAAGCTTCCTTGTTGTTTTAAGCTTCCATGGTGCTTTGCTACTGCGGCAACAAAAACTAATATACACAAGGAGACAAATGCTACGGGGGAGTGAATGGAGCGCCGAGGTAGTCCTTCACCAACCCCCTCTACCTGACTTGCATCCAGGGGCCCTGCTTACCCCTCTCCAGCACCTTCCCGGCCTCCCTGATGGCACAATCCTCCCGCTGTCTGTAGTATATCTGCACTGACACAGTCTCCCGCCACTGGACAAGGACCTGTAGGTCACACAAAGAACAGAGAGATGGTTACAGCATGTGCTGCCTTCCTGAGGAGCCACCTTCACTGGCCTGTCCTCACAGACCGAAGCCGAGTGGTGTACGCACAGGCTCACACACCTAGGAAGCGCCTGTCATCCGTGCAGACCATACACGAGTGGCCAGAGCCCCCAGTGCTCTCAGAGGAAGCCCCAAGTTACTTTATACCACACCAGAAGTCACGTTGTCACACTTGTTGTTTGCTAAATGAAACACACACTGTGTATGCTTTCACACAGGAGACACGTAAGTCACAGTGACAGAACACTTCACACCTGGCGCCTGCTCCCCGGCCGTCACAAAGTCCTCTCCCTTCCCAAGCCCTGAAGCAAAGCAAAGAGCAGACTCTGCTCCTAGGGCCGGGATGCACAAGCTGGCCTGGGAGTGCTCCTGAGATCAGACAGGGCCTTGGCCGTGTGTAATCATTGCTTGTAGGAGGGAGGCTTCAGAGTCGTGAGGACCAGCCCGTCCTATACCCCCTGGCCTTCAGGGCTCCTGAAAACTTTCTCCTGAAACATCCCTGAGTTCAGGGACTACTGCTGTCCTTTCATTTCTTTGAATCTCCTCTTTCCTGTAACAACTTTTCTCCTCATAGCTACATCCTGATCATGAGGCCAGCAAGTGGCATTTTTTCAGCACTTCCCACTAAAAATGATCAATGACCTCACATTCCCGGATGCGCTATGCTTTCCAGCAAGTTTCAGTGGCCATAAAGCCTGCAAGGCTGATGAGCAGGAGCAAGCTCTCTCTTCTACAGGTGAGGAGACAGAAGCACAGAGACTCACCCCAGCAGAAAATTCCACATGTATAGAAAATACTGATCTGACAAGAATTAGTTCACTCACAGGGTGCTGGGTTTTTACTTTAAATGATATTGGTTCATAATTGAGAATAAGACAAACAGATATAAAACCCAAATGTTCACATGGCTGCATGTGCTAGAGGGCAGTCGGTCCCTTCTCTAGGTTCCTTGTTCAGTGCAATCTCTGGCGCTGCTCCCTCATAGGAACCTGGTCCCCAGCCCTCGTTGGTGGCCAGCTAGCCTCCCAATGCCTCACCTTGGAGCATAAGGTCCTGCTGTAGTGAGCTCTTGCTTGAGAGGTTTTCTTCGCTTCATCTATACGAGTGACAGTGTTCTCTCTCCAGCGATGCAAAGCCTTCCTGCAGGGACACAGGCCCAGGAGCGGGGGTGACGCAGGTGTGGAGTGCAGTTCGAGGTTTCTAGGAGTCACTCCTAGTTCCTCAGCCCACCAGAGTCGAGGACACCCTTGGTTGAGCCCGTCAGACTGACAGCCATCCTCCTGCTGCTGAGCGCTTGCTGTGCACCAGGCACTGGGGAGCATTAGGGTCACCACAGAGAACAAGACGACACTGGGCCCTTACTACCCTCGCGTCTGTACGTGCTACAGGGAGCACAGACCCATAACCAGACTGATGATCATGAGGACGGTGATTCAAGCACGGTAAGAGGCGTACGAAGAGAGGAACTGGAGGCTTGCTGTTTAGTGCTTCAGGGACTCTGTCTTATTCCACACAGACTGAGGAGTTAGGTAAGTTCTTCATGGGACCCTGATGTAGGGACAGAAGTGTTTAAAGTCCACAAGGCCCACTGTCCACCGACAGCTTGGAATAGTGTGTGCTGAACAAATAAAGCGCAAGGAAGAGTGGCATGAGGGAGGACTGCTGGGGAGGAGTGGCTTTAGAGCTTGGCTTAGCAGAAGGTGGAGGATGGATTTGGGTGGGAGCTGGGGTCGAGGCAGCATAAGTGACCTTCCAGGGTAGAAGAGATGCAGATGGGGCCTGTGGGGTGAGAGATGATTCTGGAGAGTCAGTGAAAGGCCGGCAGCCACATTAGGGAGGGGGCTGACAGGGACTGGAAGCAAAGGAAGTCATGGCCTCCAGTGCAGGAAGGGAGAACAAATGATGCTTTAAGGAGCTGAATCTCGCACTGTAAAGGGGTGGGGGGAGTCTCAGGGAGCAAGGCAAGCAGAGCTCTTTCAGGCACCAGGCGACAGCTGCTCCCTACAGGCCTGGCTCTGCACACAGCAGGGGCTCAAGGCATAAGAGGAGAACCAGGGAATGAAGTGCTTGCTGTGGAGACGTCAAAACCATGATCTGAGTGGCGGGAGGACGGAGTCCCATCCTCCACCTGGCCCTAGCGTCCTCCCCATTCCTCAGGCCGGGCCTGGGAGACACTGGGGACACTCACCTCAGCAGCCCCCTCCTGTGCCGGCTCTCCCTCGCTGCCACTTCTTGTAGCATGCCCTGCACTCTGCTCTGGAAACTCTGCAGGAGACGAGGCAAACTGGAGGTCACACAGGCCCACACCTCTCCCTGTGTGCAGGCAGACCTCACAGGTGCATTCTCCACAGGAGCCCTGATGTCGAGAACACGCACCTCAGAGGGTGGGGAAAGACCGAAAGCCCCTAGTCCCGAGGCCAGGAGAATGCTCAGACAACACCCTTAGTGGGATGCCCCTGCCAACTCAAACAACTGGACTCCCGTGCCAAGGACCACTGGTCATAAGGCTGGCACCCCAGAGAACACGGGGTTTTTACACTGGAGACTATAAAGCCCACTGCTGGGGGCATCTGCTCTGTTGGAGTCTTGCTGAATGGCTGTTTGGGGTGGAGCAGGAAGAACAAGGAAGGGAAATCCCTCTCCCCAGAGGCAAGGGGATCTGGACATAGCAGCAGCTCCTACCCCCAGGTCTGCAGCACCCTGTGCAGCAAGGTGTGCTGGTGATGCAGGTCGGCGCACATCAGCTTCTGCCACTCAGCACCCCACAGGGCTAGCCACAGTGGGCTGAGGGGCCAAGCAGGAGGCAGGCTCAGCTTTTCTTCCATTTACTTCTGGGTGAGCTCAGGGAAGGAACTTAACCGGGGAGCCCAGCTTCCTCATGTATAAACATGGGCCTCTTAGGGGGTTTGGGAGGATCAGGTGAAGCAAGGGCCTGATTTAGGGCAAATGCTCAGGCATTGTTACTTAAGCCCTTTTTCTTTTTTGTACCCTGAATTAGATGCCTGTAAATGGTTAGACCAGGAATTTCAGATCAGTAAGCACCGATAAGGACACAGGCACCTAGAAGAACAAGGACTCCTGGGCCAGGGTTACCACAGGGCTGCCACTTCTTCATCCGCTGCCTGGCCTCGGAGGCAGGTGGTTTCCGAGGGACCGTGGAGGAGCCATATGTCCGCTCTGAGTCACACTGACACACAGCTCCACCTGGCCGCAGCAGGGGGTGCCTTGCCAGAGCCTCACCTCCCTCCACTTGTTCCAGGTCCACCGCAGGAGCCGTGCCGAGTGGAACTCCGCGGCCAACACGCTGCCCACCTTCCTGTGGGAGACGGTCAGAGCTCAGCGCTGCAGTCCAGACCTAGTGAGGGCCCTCTCCCGTGGGCACCAGCCCACAGTCCCTGGCCCTCGCCTAGCGTTTCTTAAACATGGGGGGTGGGGGCTCTCTGAAGAACTGATTTGGGCTTTCCTTCCATAAAAGTGCATGTAGTCAAACGTTTGTAGGCAACTTCATGGGGCTTCAGGCACCACCGAAGCCCGATAGTGTGCAGGTGGCCGGGGAGGAGGTTAGTTGTGCTAAAGTCTAAGAGGTGGGGAGATGATCGGTGCACAAAGTGGACACAAAAAGGCACCAAAGCAGGACAGTGTCTGCTGTGGACATGCGGCCGTAGCTCCTGTCCCCATTATCTAGGTGATGTGGCAGACTGCCACAACCTGCCCTCTGGGCCACACTGCTGGTGCTAGGAGGTCAACTACCCGAAAACAGATCTATCCCTCTATTCCCTAGCCATGCTCACTGCAAATGGGCCCCCACAGCAAGTGGGATGCAACCCATCAATGGGACCTCAGCTCCAAGTAGCTAGTATGGTCCCTAGACACCCCAACATCCTGTCGCCACAGCCCTAGTTTTGCTTAGACTGTCTCAGGTTGAATTTCTGAAACTTAAAACTAGGGCCTAAGCTAAGATGACCCTCTGGACAGGCATTCACTGCTAACAGTGCAGCTACTCTACTTGGTAAAGCGGCGTGAGATGGGAAGAATTCCTCAGGCATAACCAGCCACTCACTCTGTCCTGAGCCCTCGGGCACTCTCCCTCCAGACACAGAAAGCCCCCCTGAGCCGCCTGCGGCAGTGGTGGGCACAGGCCACTGCTTGCCGTAGCCTCTCCTGGCGATGTGCTGTCGCCTGCTGGTGCCACGTGGACCAGGACCTGCGTAGAAGCTGCCGTTCTGCATGAAGGATAGCCTATGGCGGGGTAGGCGGGAGAGAACAGAATGTCTCAAGGAGGAAGGGGTACAGAAGCCAGGGGCACAAATAATGACCAAGGCAACAGAAATGGACATTCAGAAGCTGCCTTGGTTGAGAAATTATAAACTCAACACAAACAAAACCAACAGGTGTCCTAGGCCCTGCTCCTGCCTCCTAAGTCCCACAGCTGGGGTGCCCATCAGTGTGGGTCTTGTGAGCCCTTCCCGAGTACAAAGGTTTGAAACAGCACTGCCCACCCTGGGCACCTCCTCAGGGAGAGCCACTTACCAGTCTCTCTGCCAAGCGGTTTTCTCGACATTGAAACATCTTCTGCCACCAAATAGCAAATACTTGCTTTTCTAACATTTCCCTAAAAACACAAATGACTAATAGCAAACTACTTAAAATAAAACAACTGCAGGGCCTCCCCGGTGGCGCAGCGATTGAGCGCTGGGTTGCGAAGCTGCCCGCAGCCTCTGCAGCGCGGGTTGGATCCCCGGCTGCTCCCCGGCCACCGGAGGAGGGTCCCACATGGCGCGCAGACCTCTCCTGCCGCCCGCTGTTCCCCTCAGCCTCGTACTTCGGTCCTTCTGCCTGTTCTGCTCCCCGCTCTGGCTCTGGTGAATTCTCTCACCCTCCCGCGCTTCTGCTTGTATAAATAAATAAATCTTAAAAAAATAATTAAAAAAAATAAATAAAATAAAACAACTCCAAAAAGACAAGAAGTTCAAAACGGACTACTGCAGAAGATGCAAATAAGTTTAGCTGGGAAGAAAGGCGAAGGAAGGGAAAGCAGAAAACAAAGGCCAAAATCCTAAAAGGACCCAATACTTTTTAACTTATTTCTGATGTTAGCCAGGGACTCTGTGACAAAAAGACTTCCATTTTGACTCTGGTTATTTATTGGTGGCTCCACACTGAATTACTAGCAGTGCCCAATGATCACCAGGCACCGCCTTTCCAGTCCATACTTCCACATAAATCCACCAGGTCGCTTCTACATAAATCCCAAGGCGAAGTGAAAAAGCAGTCGCTAGGCCCCCAAGGCTGATGGGCAGGTCTGAGGGGGCCTAGGAGACAGTATTTAAGCAAGCGTTCCAGGGGAGCTGCACAGGGGACAGGTTTGGGAACCATGACTTTCTCACCGACTCGTTATGTCTACATCTACATCAAAGCCTACAAAAGCTACTCTGGGACAACCGGGGCTGCACTTTGGCAAAGCCATGGGAACCAAAGCCAGGGGGTAGGAGGAGAGGGCTTCCCTGGCATTTAACATATCAGACTCGTAGCATATCACTCAGTACAAAGACCACTACTTACAGCCAAGACATAGCAACTGGTCCTGGGTTTGCCCTCCCGCCATGCATTACAAAATGGGACAAAGTATATGAGGCTATTGTTTTCAGACACTGAACAACAAGCAGTGCAGACTGATCCTTGAGAAATGGTAAACATGCAAGGTGAGTCCCTTGGCTGCCCAGGCTTTCTGTCTGGGTACTTCCTGGACAGTGCGGACAGGGAAGGGAATCCAAGCAAAGCATGACAGTTGCATTGAGCTGGGGAGACACAGACTGCAGCTCAAGACAGCAGGGGTAGGCCTGCATGGACCCCCATAACCTTTCTAGACCTGGGTGGGTAGAGACCTCACCCTGTTGTCCCACCTGTCTAAACCTCAGTGCTACCATGGTTACTGAATGCCCTTCGCTGAGGGAGGCCCTCCTCACACTCATGGCATTCTCATGGAAACCTTGCTACAGAGGCAATTTCCAGAATTCTAGGTGAGGTTCCCTAGATCCTCCAAATGAGGATATACAGGCAGACTCTGTAAGGCCTACCAGAATGGCCACTGTAGGGTTACGAGCTGAATGGAATTAACAGAAGTTGGAAGAGCTGAGAAATGGAGTTTCAGCCTAGTCAGAGTGGAAAGACCTGGTTAGGAACCTCAAAACTAGGAAGAATTATGGCCTAGGGGGCTGGGAGGCTAATAAGCAAAGCAAATGGCATTGTGGGTAACAGACTCACGATGCCTGCCCCAATGCAGGCAGAGTAGCATGTGTACCTGTGAAAGCGTGCTGCTCTTGCATTGAGAACATTTTCCTGCTGGTTCCACTGCCAGAGTGTTCTCCATGCCTGGAAGGCTACAGGCAGGGTTCTCTGCTGGAAATGACAATCTGCTCTGGCCTGCAACAGCTAAAGTGAAAAAAGGACCATTATTTGTACATATTTATTTTTTAAAAAATTTATTTATGCATACAAGAACTGGGATACAGGCCAGAGGTGTGGGGGGTTAGAGGATTCACCAGAGACAGAGTGGGGAACAAAACAGGCAGACTGACTGAAATATACTGCTGAGGGGAGCAGCGGGCAAGACAGGAGAGGTCTGCTGCACCATGTGGGTAGCTCCCTGGCCGGCTGGGGATCAAACTTGTACTGCAGAGGCTGCGGATAGTTTCATAGTGCTATGCTTAACCCTGTGTGCCACCAGGGAGGCCCTATTTGTACATTTTTTTAAAAATGACCTGTCAGGATCATACTCTTGAAGGAGGGTTGCTTCCTACACAAAACAGGAAAATATATTTTTATTTATCATCTTTGCCAAAATGATGGGGAAAAATTTAATTAAAGGTGGGCTAAGCACCTCTTCATATATTTGCAGTATGCATGTATATATTTTCCTGTGGTCTAGGTGTTCACACCCATTGCCTGTTTTACTGCCTGTCAGCATTTAATTCAATAATGTTTATGGGCTTTATGAACCTTAAGAAATTTATTAGTCTTGGGCCTCCCAAGTGGCCCAGCAGGTTGAGTGCAGTGCTGTGAAAATGTCCGCAGACTCTGCAGCGTGGGTTTGATACCTGGCCGGCCAGGGAGATGCCCACATGGTGCAGCAGACCTCTCCTGTCTCACCCGCTGCTCCCCTCAGCAGTGTTTTTGGTCCATCTGCCTGTTCTGCTCCCGGCTCTGTCTCAGGTGAATTCTCTCACCCTCCTGCACTTCTGGCCTATACCACAGTTCTTGTATAAATTTTTTAAAAAAAAGAAATTTATTAGTCTTCTGTCATGTGCTATATAAATATTGTTCCCACCCTATGTCTTTGATTTTCTTTATAGTATTTGTCATATATATTCTTTAAAATTTTATCTAATTATATAAAGCTACTCTTACTGATTTATCAGTAGGAAGACAACTGACATAAAGAATTTTTGTTTCAGGGCCTCCCTGGTGGCGCAGGGGGTTAAGAACCACACTATGAAGCAATTCACAGCCTCTGCAGTACGAGTTCAATCCCCGGCCGGCTAGGGAGCTACCCACATGGCGCAGCAGACCTCTCCTATCTCGCCCGCTGCTCCTCTCAGCAGTATATTTCAGTTAATCTGCCTGTTCTGTTCCCCACTCTGTCTATGGTGAATCCTCTCGCCATCCCCACATCTCTGGCCTGTACCCTAGCTCTTGTATGCATATATAAATAAATCTTTCAAAAAAGGAATTTTTGTTTCAAAAAACAAAAAAAAAGAATTTTTGTTTCTACAATCTAAAACTGGGGGGAGGGAAAGGGAAAGCAATGTGAACATGTGGTGGTTTTTAAAACATGATAGCAGATTCTTTGATCTTTTTACCCTGAAGTCCTCTCACTTTTATGTCCTCTCCCCTGGAATCTGGGTGGAACAATGACTGCTTTGACCAACAGAGTACAGGGAAGGTGACATTCTGGGTAACAGTTACAGTTGAGCCCAGTCTTAGAGCCATTGCAGTCCAGGAATCAGACATGTGAATGAAGAAACTCTATAGATAATTCTCACCCCCTGCTTTTAGAATCTTCCAAGGAGGCCCCAGTAAACACGGAGCAGAGGCCAGTCATCCTTGCAATATCCTGTCAGTTTTTAACCAAGAGAATCCTTTTTTTTTTTTTTAAGATTTAGTTTTATTTATTTATGCATATAAGAACTGGGGTGTAGGCCAGAGGTGCGGGAGGTGAGACAGAGCGGGAGAGCGGGGAACAGAACAGGCAGACTGACTGAATTACACTGCTGAGGGAAGCAGCGGGCAAGACAGGAGAGGTCTGCTGCACTATGTTGGTCACCTCCCTGGCCAGGGATCAAATTCATACTGGAGTGGCTGCAGATAGCTTCACAGTGCTGCATCTTAACCCCTTGCGCCACCAGGGAGGCCCTCACAACAGAATTCTTAAGCATAAATAGGTGGTTACTATGTTATGCCACTGAATTTGGGGTGTTTTCTTACTTAGCAATAGATAACTAGAGCAGTATGCGTGCATGTGTGTGTGGGTATGTGAATATAGGGGTATACACATTACTACCCACGTGAAGGATAAAAGATACTGGGTCTACCCACCAAATGTCATCTTAAGGGCAAGATTATGGGTTATGGGGTTTTTTCTTCTTTATGTCTTTCTTTACTTTCCAAGTTTTTGATACTGTCTATACATTGCTTTTCTCTACTTTTTATTATGGGCATTTTTCAATGCAGAAGCCAATAGTATATTGAATCTTCATGAACTTACCTAATCCATTTTCAGCAATTAATAAACATTTTGCCATTCTTTATATATTACTTTTTTAAAAAGGAAAAAAAACACACAATAAATAATTTTTTTTTTCTCTACCTAAAACCAGAACTGATGTGTTTGTTAGATAGCAACACCAAGAGATGATACTCAGATTGTTAGCTAAAGATTTCTTAAAACCAATACCCAAGTAGGGTTCATATGATTTTCCAAACCTTCTGTGATGCCTGTAACAGCCAGCCATGTGGGGTAGAGTGAAAGATAAGAAAACTGACCCTTGACCTTCTACCAGTGCTGGGCTTTCTCATGTCAAGGAGCATTCTTTCCAGAAAGGGACTAAAAGAGATTCACTACTGCTTTTTTACCTTGAATAAATACAATCTTTCAACCTTGACACTCACATTCTTTTTCTAGCAGGTCTCTCTACATTTTGTTGAGTTGGCTTTAAATGAGTTTAGGAGACCAAGTAGCAATGTCCTTTCAAAACAGTCACATAATCCAAAAGGACAACAGTGCAGCAACTCTGAAGCACTGTCTAGGTGTGGAGAGCAAGGGTGACACAGAAACAAGCCAGGTCTCAGCTAGTAACACCTAGACCCTAAATGAGGTGATCCTTGGGGACAACTGTGAAGCAACTGATGGCAGTTTGTTAATCTGCTTACTCGTTTGTTCATTCATTTGTCCAAATATTAGTCAGAAGCTACCCCGCTATGCCAACACTGTGTTGGGTTGACAAGGAGACAGCTTGTACCCTCAAGAAGTTCACAGCCTGCCAGGGGGAGAGGCCAGTATATAACTGTGTGATGAACATGCTGATAAAGCTACATGGGGGCTTGGGGCAGGGCAGGGGGGAAGAAGTAATACCTGAGCTGAAAGGTAGCAAGGAATACAGGACTGCAGGTACACAGAGAGGCAGGAGAGCACAGTGGATGCAGGGAAGGACCCGCAGTTTCACTGGTCAGAGTGAAGGCAGAGAGAGAGGTAACAAGAAAAGGAGAGAAGTAGACAGGCTACCAACCGTCAAAGGAGTTTCATCCCTCACTAGAAAATCTGGATTCTACTCCCAAACTATAAGGAAGCAACTATAATTTTAGATTCACATGTTAGACTCTGGTAGCAGATGTAAGTTCGGGTGGGGACGACAGCATGAAAATAACTGGAAGGAGTTTGGTTTGTGTCTTCCTCCATTTCACTGCCAGCGATGGCCAAAGTGGTCACAACACTTTCGGCCATGATGCCCATGCAGACATCATCAGTGGGACACATATTTCCCTGAGTTTGGAAGCAGCCTCAGAATTCTCCCCAGTTCAGCACTCCAAACAGCTGTATTCCAGACAGCTGCTCCCAGTCATTACAGCAGGCCTTCAAGGTCACACTCATCTGCCCTCTGCCCCCGCCAGTGCGATATGACAAGTAAGAATATGTATCACAGCTGTATCCTCAGTACTGAGTGCAGCATGTGAGGTATACACTCTGTACCTCTCCCAATTGCTCCTCAAGGTCCCACTGGGTGACAGGAAGGTGAAGAAATATATAAGAAAGGGATGAGTCAAAATATGGATAGAAAGGGCGAGAAAAGCAGCATTTTTCAGCAGATAAAGGAATGGGAGTTATGCAAACTTTCTGAAATTACCAGAGGGTACTAGGGGAAATACCGTTGAGTTTGGTACAGCTCTCTCTCTGTATCAGAACACCAAGACCTCTTGGCATAGGCCTTTTCCAAGAATCTTTCCAAAGCAAATGGACCCAAAAATGTAAGCAGCAGAGCTATCTGTATGAAGTCTTCCATACCTGTTTGTATCGCCTCTTCTGTGTGCACTGCAACCACAATTTGATACACTTGCGTAGCAATGTTATTCTGAAATAAAACACAGGCCATAAAGATCCTACCTACTCAGGTTTTTTGAACTTCCTTTTGTTTTTAAAGCAGGTAAATCTGAGTGCAGTTACATCTTGAGTATTAAAGGCACCCTAGCGGTTCACTAGTTTCATTTTAGGAGAGAGGGAAATAAAAGCCTGATACCTAACATGAAATCTGTGAAGCCCTATTTTTGGACTGAGGCTTGCCCCAAAATTTTGACAATGTTCTTGTAAAATTAGTAAGACTGCCAAGCATGATGTCTCTGGAACTGAGTAAATATTTATGAAATCCACCAAATAGCCTCAATTTTTTTTTGTTTTATGGCCAAACTCTGGGGTTTGTTTAGGCCCACCTGGGTCTGTGATATGCTGTCTGTACACAGTGATTTTTGAGAGTGAGAACCACTTCAGCTTCATAAACCAGCACTTAGAATAATGATATACTGTGATAACTCCAAATTGAGTCAGTGAAATACTGGGATTCTCACAGATCCATTAAAATATGCTCCAAAATCAGAGACCTGAAACTATGCAAATCAAGTTGACTATACTACTGAAAAAGGAGAAGGTCAACTGAACATTTCTGGTAGCAAAAAAAGTAGTGTTTACCTGTAAAGAGTACGACTAAGGGGTGACAGGAAGGTATTCAGGATGTTTTGGGTTTTTTTTAAAGATTTATTTATTTAGGGCCTCCCCGGTGGCGCAGCGGTTGAGCGCTGGGTTGTGAAGCTGCCCGCAGCCTCTGCAGCGCTGGTTCGATCCCCGGCTGCTCCCCAGCCACCAGAGGAGGGTGCCACATGGCACGCAGACCTCTCCTGCCGCCCGCTGCTCCCCCAGGCAGTGTACTTCGGTCCTTCTGCCTGTTCTGCTCCCTGCTCTGGTGAATTCTCTCACCCTCCCACGCTTCTGACTGTACCCAGTGCTTGTATAAATAAATAAATTTTTAAAAAAAAAAAAAAGGATTTATTTATTTATACAAGCACTGGGTACAGTCAGAAGCGTGGGAGGGTGAGAGAATTCACCAGAGCCACAGCAGGGCGCAGAACAGGCAGAAGGACCAAAGTACACTGCTGAGGGGAGCAGCGGGCAGCAGGAGAGGTCTGCGCACCATATGGGACCCTCACCCGGCAGTCGGGGATCGAACCGGCGCTGCAGAGGCTGCCGGCAGCTTTGCAACCCAGTGCTCAACAGCTGCACCACCGGGGAGGCCCCAGGATGTTTTACTTTTACTTTGTATTTTCCTTCCTATACATTGTCAGTTTTCCTCATGGACATGTGGGGCTTTTATTTAACTAAATAATTAAGTCTTAAAAACTGACACACTCTGTACCCTTCAAGACCCATCAACCAGCCCACATATGTCCCCTGGCCTGACCCTCCTCTTTAACACCATCATGAACTCTAAGACATGAATGCCACTCAAGTATGAAGGACTGAGGGGTGAGCTAGCAGGCACACACCTCAAACCATGGCAGCCATGGACCAGTACAAACATCCTCATTCTATCTCCCACTTGTTCATTCAAAAGACAAATGCAAGCGCAGGACCCACTGGTTCACAGCAGGACCTTTCTGAATCTGCTGTAATCACACATGGAGGGTAAGTCATCACGCCTGGAGAACAGTGATTCAGCCAACATGTGTTCCTAGAGAGTCGAAGGATAAGGCCAGAGTCCCCACCTGTAGTGGTTCCAGGCAGCATGCAGTAAGGGGAACTGCTCTTTATCCTCCTTCTGCTCAATCCGAGACTGCCAGAGGTTCCAGAACCTATGCAGCAACTGAAGCAGAACAGGAAGGAAATGGAAATGTATTGAGACAAAAGGAAAAACAATCTCTCTTACCTTGTAAGTTAGCAAATCCTTGCTCCAAAAAACTAAGCAACTCCAAAGCAGGAATTATTTTAAGTAGGCATGTCCGACTCAGGCTTGCAAAATAATCATGGCCAAGCAAATAGATAGATCCAATCCAGTTTATGGAAATCAAAATGAAGAAACTATTCCTAACTTGGCTATCATGGAAGACAATGCCATTTTAAAAAGCTATTTTAATATTTAGAAATCGAAACTGATCTTATCTCATGTGTTCACCTCATCGCCTGTTCAGTATTTGTGCCAAAAAAAGTTTAACTTCAATCTAATAGTCTTCGATCTATAGGGGTTACACAGATTAAAGGAAAATTAAGTTACATGAAAGGAAACAGATAAATCTAGAATATGGGTCACAGTACAAAATAAATGGCCTCTTCTTTCCAAAAGTCAGTGTTATTAAAAAAAAAAAAAGTGTACTTATACTTAGTGAAATAAACCAGAGACAAAAAGGCAAGTACTATACATTTGAGGCAACTAATGGTCAAATGCGTAGAGAAAGAAAGTAGAAAGGTGGTTTCCAGGGGCCGGGGAAGGAGAATGAGGAACTGAATGGGACATAGGTTCTGTTTTGCAATATGAAAAAGTGTTGGAGGTGGACAGTGGCGATGGTTGCCCAATAATGTAAATGTACTTAATGTCACTGAACTGCACACTTAAAATAGGTTAAGAGGATGAGTTTTATGTTACATGTGTTTTATTATAACTAAAAAATAAAAAACAGAAGACTATTGTTGATTAATAGCCTTAAAGACACAACCAAATGCAATGAATAAACCTTAATGGAATTCTGGTTTAAAAAGATATTTTGGGGACCTCCCCTGGTGGCGCAGTGGTTAAGCGCTGGGCTGCGAAGCTGCCCACAGCCTCTGCAGCACCAGTTCGATCCCCAGCTGCCGGCGAGGGTCCCACATGGCGCACAGATCTCTCCTGCTGCGCCCGCTGCTCCCCTCAGCAGTGTATTTCGTCAGTCTGCCTGCTCTGCTCCCCGCTCTGGCTCTGGTGAACTCTCTCATCCTCCCGTGCTTCTGACTGTACCCAGTGCTTGTATAAATAAATAAATATTTTTTTAAAAAATTGGGGGGGAAAACTGAGGAAATTTGAGTAAGGACTGGGTACTGGATAATATTAAGGAGTTACTGCTCATTTTGTCAGGGATGATAAGGATATTGTGGTTATGTGAGAAACTTATTTTGGGGTGAAGCATATTGAAATATTTAGGTGCAATGTGTCGTGATGTCTAATTTACTTTAAAATGATTCATCCAAAAAAAAACTAAAAAAATATAGCAAATATCAACAACTGCTGAATCTAGGTGGTGAATATATAGATGTTTATCATACTACTCTATTTTTTTGTACGTCTGAACACTTAACACAACCCAAAACATCCTTCTGTAGCCTGAAACACAATCTAGAAGCAGAGACAGGGCATTTGTTGCACTTAGGTAAATAAGCCACTAAAAAAAACAGACTTAAAGTGCAAACACAACCAAGGCCTCCTATAATTCAAGGCTTAAAGTACATTCCCTAGGTCAGGGTGGAATCCACAGTCCCTGACCTCTGATTCAATGTTCTTAGCAAACAGATACAAAATGGGATTAAGCAAGGCAAAAACAAGAGTTCTCTATCGATCATTATTTTTAAAGAAAATGGGCATTAAGGTTTCAGAGTCTAAGGGTTTGAACAAATCTATGAGCACAAAGTTAAAGAACGAGAACGAAAAAAAAAAAAAAAAAAGAACGAGAATGGTTATCAGAAGAGGCCCCTTGAATAGAGGGCCCTCACCAAGGCATCATGCTGCTGGTGAGCGAGATTCCTTCTTATTCGCTGAAGATGGGCACGGGTCATATTGTCTTTTAATGCTCTAAAGCAAAAGTGCTGTGAAAAGAAGAAAGCATACAGATAGTTACAAATCAGTAGAGTATGGAAAAATAAGAGAAGACAAAGGAAAGCAGAGTCTGAATCAGAGAGCAAGAAGCTCAGTCACAGCTGCTTGCAGCTGTTCCCAAGTCCTTGAAAGCATTTGTCTGCTTTGAGATTCCACTGGGAGGCTGACACAAGCCAGCCCACACAGTAGACACGTAAGAGACAGAGCTGAACTCCCGCCTCTCCACTGACACTGCAAGGGAACAAATACACCCTCACTTCTCACCAGGAGATCCCCATGACCCAGGTGAGAACACTATCAAGAGAGGTTAAAAACATCAACTTCACCTCTCAGAAAAGAGACATCGTTTTGCCTGTTGTGTTGTTTTGTGTGTGCGTGTGTTATAACCTGGGTCGACATGTATACTTATATGATTATAAATGCAATTTTGCAAGAGCAGAGTAGAAGGAACCCTTGGTGAGTGAGGGGGTCATGTAGGACAGCAGGCCCGGCTGCAGCATTATCAATAATGCCTCACAGGTGTCCTAAGCAAAGTCCATTCCCCCACACCCTGGTTTCAACTTTCTGAGACAAAATTATAGAGAACAAAATTACATAAAACACAGGGTTTTATGCTCTGTACACCTCCATAGGCTCCTGAGGTGTCTGAAGAGCACCTCGTATGCTGCGGGTCAGCGAGAACGGCCAGTAAAACAGGGCCAACTTGTACACCTTTCTTCGATCTCAGCAGTTCTACTTTGATCAATTTCACAGACTACAACCATAAAAACAGGGCCCTCCATGTAGAAAATCCCAGGACTAGATCACCTCAAAGATTCCTTTAAGCTCCAAAGCCCTCTGACCTCACACGAGTGCCATCTCTGATTAAAATGAAAATAGGGACACCCTAAATGAAAGAGGGTCTCCTGACTGAAGCCAACCACACAACTGCAGGCACTCAAAGAACCTGACATGGGGTTCTGAGTCCCCTCAAGAGCAGATGCCCGAGAAAGGCTGACAAGCTTACCAGCAAGCTGTGCCTGTGGTGTTCTTCTGCCACCTTCCACTGGGCAGCTGCTTCCGCACACAGCAGCACATCTGCTAGGGAGTTAAGGACTCTCATCTTGAAGGTTCCCTTCCCACAAAGTGCCATCCTAGTGACCCACGTGCAGTGGCCTGGCTATAGGGGGTAACAGAGATGCCAAGTGGGCTGATGTCCACTTCTGACTCCTCCAGAGAAGAGAGGGCAAAGAGAAGCCATGTTGTTTTATCCAACAGCTGGCCTGGTCTTTCTCCTCTTTGATGCCCATTTGATGAGAGGCAAAATATTTGAGATAAATTGCCACCAATTTCAGGAAACATTTCAAAACCACATCTTAAAAAGCAGAAGATGGTCCCTCTCCTTCTTTTTCCACATTACAATCCAGTCAGATATTTGAGATAAAAAACCTTGGAGTTATTTTCAAACCTTTTCCCCATCAACTCCCTCCATCTACTGTTGCCAGTCCATCTGTTTTCCTCCTAAATCTCCCGGACCTGGCTCCACCCCCAATGCCCTGCAACCTTCATCTGCCTTGTCCCTCACATGTAGTGCTAAGTCTCCTGCCAGTCCCAACTCTACCACATAACTGGTCTCCCTGTGCAAGCTTCGGTACTATACTCTAGAATTATCCTTTCTAAAGTACGAATCTGCTGAATCACTTCTCTTCTGAAAAACCTAGAGGCTCCCCAGTGCCATAAGGATAAAGCCCAAACTCCTGACCACTTCATACTGGGCTGCACAAGCGGGTCTCCAACTTGCTCTGCCTACAGCTGCTCTACACCACCACAACTCACTTCTGACCCCTGCCCCATCTTCAGATGCTTTTCTCATCAATGTCACTCCTCTCACCTGACATGCCCTCCCAAGCCCTCTGCTGGATAAGCTTGTCTTCTAAGATTTTTTTTTTTAAGATTTATTTTTATACAAGAACTGGGGTACAGGCTAGAGATGCAGGGGGGTGAGAGGACTCACCAGAGACAGAGCGGGGAGCAGAACAGGGGGACAGACCAAAACACACTGCTGAGGGGAGCAGCAGGCGCAATAGGAGAGGTCTGCCGCGCCATGTGGGTTTCTCTCTGGCTGGCCTGGAATCGAACCCATGCTGCAGAGGCTGCGGACAGCTTCACAGCACTGCGCTCAACCTGCTGTGCCACTGGGGAGGTCCTCTTCTAAGGTTTAAATTCAGCTCATACATGACCTCCTCAGCTGAATCTTCACAGTAGCTCTTTGCAGGATTTGACACAAACTGTTATAACACTTATCACATCATATTATAAAGACCAATTTTCTTGCTTATTTTCCCCACTAGACAATGCACTCTCTATTGGTCTTCGAGTACGTTCATATCCCAGAACTTAGGCAGTTTTAACACTAACTAAGCAAGAATTAAATGAACAAACTGAGCATCCAGGACAGTCTAGACTGTCAGCGTGGCTGAGCATCCAGGACAGTCTAGGACACTCAGGCACATACTGTGGTCGGGGACACCCCACATGTGACCAGGGTCAAAGGCCTAGATTTACAAACTCCTGGCTCTACCAATGACTTGATGTGACTTTGAAAACCACTCAGCCCTCCTGAATCTGTTTCCTCATCTGTAAAATTGGATATAGAAACACCTGCTCCACAGGATTGCTATGAGGACTGAGATGATAATACAGAGTATCTACATACAGTGAGAACTCAGTAAGTGAAAGCTTTATCATAATGATAGAGCTGCCAAGAAACAGATAGTTGTGATTATTTCCATTACCTAGTGGGTAGAAAAAAGCAAGGAATGAGAACATCAAATTCATGACAGTGGAATCACCCCTGAGGTGGGGGAGGGGAACATAATCAGGGAGGAACAGATAGGATGTAATGTTAGTAATGTTCTAACTTTGTTGGGTGGTGAGTACACAGATATCACTGTTATACTTTAAATCATAAATGTATGTTATACATACTCTTTTGTATGAATAGTCCCAATTAAACAATTTTTTTTAATAAGTCAACAGAAATCAACTGTCCCAAATTGTACAAGCACTCATTCCCATGTTTCATGACTCTTGTTTTATGTGACTCTTGTTTTACCAGCTGCTCAGTGCCAGCTGTCTTGGCTGAGACCATGAACAGGGATGGTGGATGAAAAGGATACAGTGTTTCCAGTGAGTGAAGGCCCGCCTCAGCGCCATCCTCCTGGCCAGTTCTCCCACCAGTGCTTGGTGGGCATGTAAGCGTTTCCTCTGCTCCCAAGCCCACTGCCAATCACAGAAATACGTCTGCAGCACAGTGACATGGTGGAATTGCTCAGCCATCTCTGCAACAGAGAACATAAACTTTAGTGTTACCCCCGCCCCCCCAGCACCCCCCCACTGCCACAAGACTGATGGGGGCGATGAGCTACAAGCACATTTATGACAAACTGAATCCCACTGATGGCAGACAGCAGGGATTCAAGGCCACTCTCACAAAGATCCCTACAATAGGGCCTCCCTGGTGGTGCAGTGGGTTGAGTGCAGCGCTGTGGAGCTGTCTGCAGCCTCCACAGTGCCAGTTCGATTCCTGGCCAGCCGGGGGGAGTCCCACATGGCAAGGCAGACCTCTCCTGTCATGGCCGCTGCTCCCCTCAGCAGTGTACTTCGGTCCTTCTGCCTGTTCTGCTCCCCGCTGTCTCTGGTGAATTCTCTCACCCTCCCGCGCCTCTGGCCTATACCCCAGTACTTGTATAAATAAATAAATCAAAAAAAAAAAAGGAAAGAAATACATACAAAAAACCCTACAGTGAGTTTATTTTTTCTTTTTTTAAGATTTATTTTTTAGGGCCTCCCTGGTAGTGCAATGGGTTAAGAGACAATCTATGAAGATGTCTGCAGCCAGGGATTGAACTTGTGCTGCAGTGGCTGGTGACAGCTTGATAGCACTGAGACTTAAATCCCTGCGTCACCAGGGAGGCCCATACAATAAGTTTTTTAAATACTGGAGAGTTATTGGAAAATCCTTAGCTATATCCCCTTTCTAAGGAAACAGAAAAGGTCTAATTCTAAGGAAGAGGCTATAAAATCAGTTACATCAAAGGGTTAAGGCTCCTGGTTAATGACTAAAGTGCAGGAAGGGTGTGTCTGGAAGAATAAGGCCCACTGGCATACTCTCAAGGTCGTTTCTCACTATTGTCTCTTTTCTGATGTCTCCTAGATAGGACTTTAGGGAGGGACTAAGTTAAGGATATGCTAGGTCAACATGCTGGCAAAGACTTTTTGAGCTTTCAGCCAGGCTGATTCTGGTTCCAGCTTCACCTCCTTTTAACACTAATTAGCTAATGGCCTGAGGAGTTTAGATCAGGGAGTCAAAGGGAACTGGGTCTGGAATTCAAATACTGTAACTGGAGGCAAATTAATTTGCATCTCATGCTGAACAGCTTAATGCTTTCACCTTCCAGACTTGGGCAAGGGGACAGTTCGTCCCCATTACTAGCCTCAAATGGACACATTCAAATTCTCCCAAGAGAGTGTTTGAGAATTCTAGGAGATTTCTGCAGGGAGGCCTAGATGAAAGCCAGAGAGCCTAAGGCTGCATCAAGCACATCTACGTAGGTGCAGCAAACCCAGTACAAAAAGTACCAAAGGTCATAACCCATGTATTATTACTTCTGAACTCCAAGTGGGAAACCAAATCATAAGAACAATGTTCAAAAAGTCGACATCATAAATCACACGCATTTGCATAACTGGGGACAAACAGTAACAATCCAAATATCTATCAACAGAAGAATGGCTAAACAGATTAAGGCAAGCCATCCTATAAAATTTTTAAATTAAAAAAATTTTTGAAGAATACAAAAGACCCAGAAAAGTGTTCATTAGTTGTATGGAAAAAACGAGATAGAAAATTGTATGTACAGGGTCTCCATGGTGGTGCAAGGGGTTAAGTATCAGCACTGTGAAGCTATCCGCAATTACTGCAGCCAGGGAGCTACCCACACAGCGCAGTAGACCTCTTCTGAATCACCCGCTGCTCCCCTCAGCAGTGTGTTTCAGTCATTCGACCTGTTCTTCTCCCCACTATGTGTCAGGTGAATCCTCTCACCTCCCCCGCACTTCTGGCCTATCCCCTAGTTCTTGTAAGTCAGAAGGAAATAACTATAAATGAATCAAGGATGAGGTAGTACCCTCCTTCATGTCCCTTTTACAAAATTTCTGGCATAGTATTATCTCTCTCCTGAAAAAATTAGCACCACTGGCAGTAAGAGCGTAGAAATTGTGCTAGGCCCTCTGTCTCTAGAGCCCAGGACTCCTGCTCACCATGCTGCTGTCTCTTCACTCTGCGGACCTGTAGGTATTGAAGCCAAGCCTTCAGGAATCTCCACTTTTGCCAGTGCTGATGATGTCTCGCTGCACAAACCATCTTCCGTCTCTCCCGCCAGACATGCAAGAGCTGCTCCTGCCACTGTGACCAAGCCTGAAAAATAGGGAAATGACAAGAGAGCAAAGGCAGGATGGTGGTGGGGGAAACATTAGATTTCTCGGATATGATATTGTGTTACATAGGAGAACATTCTTATTTTCAGGAGACCTAAGTTGAAGTGGTTAGGGTAAACTTCATATCTAATTTTAAAGTGTAAAGGGATATAGTTACAGACACAGAGAAGGCCAATGTGACAAGATGTTAATAAGGGGTTAAACTAGTGAAGAGTATACAGTATCCACTGTTTTTTTCTGTGATTGGGTTTTGTCAAAAATAAAAAGTTGGGGGGAGGGGTCACAAAAATATTTCCTGAAAGGAATAAATCAGTGATTTCAAAACCAACCAAACAACATTCCTCTTAAGACCACACTTGGCCACCCAGCTAACACTTGATTCTTTCCTTTGATTTCTAAACTCTTCAAAAGGGCTATTTTTTAATAATTTCTCTTCTAATTTCTCTTCTCCCAGACAAGTTTCCTTGAACCCTCTCCCCATCAGGTTTACTGAAACTACTGTTATCAAGAACATCAATAGTATCCACATTGCCCAACTCAAAGGTCAAATCTCAATCCTCACCCTGCCAGAAGCATCTGACATAGCCAATGACTCCTTTCTTCCCCTGCTTCCAGGATACCTCAGGTCTTCCCTTGTTCAAGTGGCTGAAACCAACCTCTTCACCTGGCAAGGCTCAGTCCGGGAACTTCCTCTCTAGCTACACTCAGTCCTCTGTGATTTCACCCAGTCTCCTGGCTTTAATAGCATCTGCATTTTGAGCCCTGTAAATCTGTACTTCTGGCCTGGACTCTATACCTATATCAAACTGCCCCTTCACATTTCTTCATGGAGATGTCACAAAACGTCGATCAGGAAGAAGATGTGGAGCTCAGAATGGAGATCCTGTCTTCCCCCACAAGACTTTCTCCTCCATCTTCCCCACTTTAGTAAATGGTAGTTCCACTGTTCCAGTCACATAAGACCAAAAACCCGGGAGTTTTCTTGAATTTTTTTTCTGAAATTTCACTTCTTATGTATCCACTTGAAAATCCTGTTGACAATACCTTCAAAATATATCCACCTTACTATTTATCTTATCCAAATGTCTCACCTGGAATTTTCTAATAGCTTCTTCACTATTCACCCTCTTTTGATTTTCCATGGTCTGTTCTTAACTCAGCAGCCACAGTGATCCTTTTTTGGTTGTTACAGCATTAAAATCTCTCCTTTTCATATGATAATCTCACTCCCGTCTCTCCCCCTTTCATAGCACCAATCTGTTCAAACTTTGAGTGACTGTCTCCTCAAGGAGTCTTTAATTCAGTCCTCTGATCCGTGTACTTCTTGTGAACTGACAGATCCATGTTAGGCTTGGCGGAGTCATGTTCAAATTTTTAGGCAAGAACACACCCCTAGCAGTGCCCATGAGGCACATCAAGGCTGGCTGCCACAGTCTAGCAAAGCTAAGATTGTTCTGTGGCTTCATAGGCTGTCAGCCCAATCCCTCCTGTGTATTTCCCCATCATCTTCTTACCTACTGACTGCTTTTCAGATTCTAGCAGTCTTTCTGCATTTATTAACTACAATTCTATAAATAAGCCTATTCATTAACCCTCTGGTTTTAGAGAGATGTGGTTTATACAGGAAAGGCAGGATAATTGCTTGATTTTTACTTTTATTTTTATTTATTTATTTATTTAAAGATCTATTTATTTATACGAGAACTAAGATACAGTCAGTCAGAGGCGTGGGAGGGTGAGAGAATTCACCAGAGACAGAGTGGAGGGTAGAACAGGCAGATGGACCAAGGACACTGCTGAGGGGAGCAGAGGGTGAGGCAGGGGAGGTCTGCCGTGCCATGTGGGTTTCTCCCTGGCTGGCCGGGAATTGAACCTGCACTTCAGAGGCTGCAGACAGCTTCAGAGCATGGCGCTCAACCCGCTGTGCCACTGGGGAGGCCCCTGCTTTCACTTTTATTTATTTATTCTTTAAATTTTTTTTAAAGAGATTTATTTTTATTTATTTATACAAGCACTGGGTACAGTCAGAAGCGCAGGAGGGTGAGAGAATTCACCAGAGCCAGATCGGGAAGCAGAGCAGGCAGACTGAAGTACACTGCTGAGGGGAGCAGCGGGCGGCAGGAGAGGTCTGCGCGCCATGTGGGACCCTCCTCCGGTGGCCGGGGAGCAGCCAGGGGATCAAACCTGCGCTGCAGAGGCTGCGGGCAGCTTCGCAACCCAGCGCTCAACCCCTGCACCACCGGGGAGGCCCTGCTTTCACTTTTAAAGCAATGAATGCTCTACCTGATAACATGACCAACGAGTTCCCTTTCTTTGTCATTATGAATCTATGAAATTTATGTATTTGATATGCTTTCAATCCACTTCAGTCATTTTATTTTTTGATGTTCAAACTATTCTATTTTAAGCTTATCAGTCATTGGTTCTCAAGTTCTTCTGACACAACCCTTTAATTTCTTCACTTTCCAGTACACTATAGCTTAGGTTGATGATGTATTATTTCCCATTCTAGACCTGAAATCAGTGATTTCTCCAAAAAGTCTCAGTTCCTTTCAGTGGGAAACAGTAGACACCACAGTTAACTTCCCCAGTATTATCTTATTGGCACTGCTTTCTAAGACTTTTCAGCAAATAAGAGTTAGAAAGACATTTTTAAGGTTAAGAAAAATCTATAATGAAATATACATTTCCAAATTTAGATTTACAGGGCTTTTATTTACTTCATTCTGTACTTGCAATCTTTTCCTTTACACTGAAATTTGTGATTCCTAATGACACATAGTTATTTGCTTTTTCTTACAATGTAGCTGTAAGAGCTTCAACAGAACAATTCCAAACCTACTATTGACAATAAGACTACTGAGTACAGTTTTAGATTTCTTATCAGTTCTTTGTGTCCTTAGGTTACATCCTAAGGGACAAACAATCAAAATGTTGTCTTTTAAAGTTAATTGAATTGGGCCTCCCTGGTGGCCCAAGGGGTTAAGCGCCGCACTATGGGGCAATCCACAGCCTCTGCATCACAAGTTCAATCTCTGGCCAGCCAGGAAGCAACCCACATGGCGAGGCAGATCTCTCTGTCTCGCCCACTGCTCCCCTCAGCAGTGTATTTCAGTGTGCCTGTCTGTTCTGTTCACCTGCTCTGTCTCCAGTGGATCCCCTCACCCCCCACATTTCTGGCCTGTACCCCAGCTCTTGTATACATAAATAAATAAATCTTTAAAAAAAATAAAGTTAATTGAATTATTGTCTGTATAGTCATTGCTAAGTACTCGATATATTTGTTTCAGAGTGTTTTAAAATTGTAGAGATTAAACAGGGAAGGAAAAAGTTAAACTATCACTATTTGCAGATGATATAATATATATAGAGAGCCCCAAAAACTCCACAGAAAAACTAATCAAATTAAACAATCAGTTTAGTAAAGGTGGAAGGATACAAAATCAACATACAAAAATCAGTAGCCCTCCTATACACAAACAATAAATCTGAAGAAGAATCAAGAAAACCATCCCTTTTATTATTGAAACAAAAAAAAAAAAATCAAATACTTGGGAATAAACCTAACAAAAGAAGTAAAGGACCTATACAAAGAAACTATAAAATAAAACACCATTAAAAGAAATAAAAGAAGACACAAAGAAATGGAAAGACATCCCCAGCGTATGGATTGGAAGAACATTATCAAAATGGTCACCCTATCAAAAGCAATTTACAGATTCAATGCTATTCCAATAAAAATTTCAATGACATTCTTCAAAGAAATAGAACAAATATTGATGAAATTCATATGGAGCCACCAAAAACCCAGAATAGTCAAAGCTCTCCTGAAAAAAAAAAAAAAGGGAGTGGAGGTATTACACTCCCAGACTTCAAACTATACTACAAAGCCATAATAACTGCATGGCAAAACTGCATGGCACTGGAACAAAACAGACATATGGACCAATGGAGCCAAATAGAAAATTCAGAAATAAACCCACAGATTTACAGTCAACTAATCTTTGACAAAGTAAGAATATGCAATGGAGCAAAGAAAGTTTGTTCAATAAATGGTGTTGGGAAAACTGGGTTGCTACATGCAAAAGAATGAAGCTTCACTACTACCTCACACCATGCATAAAAACCAACTCAAAATGGATTAAAGAACTAGACATAAGACCTCTAACCATAAAATATATAGATGGAAATATAGGTGAAACGCTACACGACATACACCTCAAGAACATCTTTAAAGACATATCACCCAAAGCAGTGATAGCGAAGGCAAAGATAAACAGTTAGGACTACATCAAATTAAAGAGCTTCTGTACAGCAAAAGAGACAGTAACCAAAACAAAGAGACACCCCGCCAAGTGGGAGAAAATTTTTGCACACAACACTAATGATAAAGGACTGATCACAAAAATCTACAAGGAGTTGATGAGACTCAACAAAAACAAAGTAAATAATCCAGTCAAAAAATGGGCAGAAGAGCTAAAAAGAAACTTCTCCAAAGAGGAAATGCAAATGGACAACAGGCATATGAAAAAATGTTCAACATCACTTGTAATCAGGGATGCGCAAATCAAAACTACAATGAGGTACCATCTTACACCAGTGAGAATGGCACATTTTTTAAAAAGATTATTTATGGGCCTCCCAGGTGGCGCAGCGGTAGAGCGCTGGGTTGCGAAGCTGCCCGCAGCCTCTGTGGCGCCGGTTCGATCCCCGGCTGCTCCCCGGCCACCGGAGGAGGGTCCCACATGGCGCGCAGACCTCTCCTGCCGCCCACTGCTCCCCTCAGCAGTGTACTTCAGTCCTTCTGCCTGCTCTGCTCCCTATTCTGGCTCTGGTGAATTCTTTCACCCTCCTGCGCTTCTGACTGTACCCAGTGCATGTATTAACAAAACAAACAAACAAACAAATAAAAATAAAAACATGCCTCTATTAAAAAAAAAAAAATTATTTATTTATTTATTTATTTATTTATTTATTTAT